CGCGGAACGCTAGCTCCATATCGTGACTTGGCACATCAAGAAGATTACCGATGATAGGATAGCCGGGAGGGCCAGGAGGGAGTGGTAAAGCAGCCGTACGGCGCAACCATCTAGCTCTCACTACGAGCGCAGCTAGTACAGCAAGGACGATGAGTATTAGAGCAAGGAGGCTCCCCATGGCTGTGAGCGATCTGTGTGAGGGTAGTGGAGAATAGGCAGAACTCTAGGCTTTATGTACTAGGATGCTGAGCCTTATCTCGCTTTATTAGGATCGTGCAGTCAGGTGAGGCGCCGTCCTATAAAAGGTGAGGAGAAGATTCCGAACGATAAAAGAAGAGCGCTTGTTGAGTGAAACAAAGCCGAGCACATGGCAGAAATGCAAACCGGAAGAATCAGTTTGCGTCATGCAAGCACGCTCTGAGGAGAGACTTACCTCTCGGCAGTGAATTTGACACACCGAAGAGTATTCGTCCAATCCAAGAGATCATACCACGGTTTCCTTTAGCTTCTATTGGAACCATACACGATGCTGGCACGGAGCATCGTACTGAACGCGTGCAGCACCCTGTTAATCTGTACGTGCTACTGGGTGTGGTGGCTGACGTGGGACCCTGTCATATCGCCACTTTTTCTGGCAAGCGGCACGCCGGCAGCCGACCAACGGTACTGTTAATGACAACCCTGTGGAGCCCATATGGTGTGCAGAAGCTTTGACTTGGCGGCGAAGAAGGAAGCCTCAGCGAATCCTGGATGGATCATGTGAGGAAACCCTACGATTAGCAAGCGCAACCTTCGCCCATAGCCAAGGGCTATCGTAGCAGGCTCCTGGACGCTAAGATTTATCTTGCCGTCTGGGTGCAATCGCGGGTCCTGAGTGTACAGCCTCGTAATCTTCAACGTCCTCGCCAGCAAGGCAAATATTGACCACATACCACGGGTTGATCACCACGGCGGACTGCTTTGGTATACGGAACCCTTTGTGTTCGTCGGCCTCAATCGACAGGTGATCAGCGCAAGAGGGGCTACTGGTCCCTAGCGCGAAATTTCTTGATGTGTGCGATCAGCTCAAGGGGATAGCCTACTGTCCGCGAAAGTCAGCAGACGGTGAGGCCCAACTACGGCGTGGGGCTCAGCTTGAGCGCGTTTCTGCACCCCCAGGGATGATGCCATGGCAACATAGACATTTTGGAACGTAAGGAGCGTCTGGGACAGGAACTATTAGCACACAATTCTGGCAAGAACGAGCGCACGCACGAACAGTATTAGCACCACCTGGTAACAGACTCCTCGGTGTCTGTGCTCGCGTCCTCCTTGTCGCCGCGGACGTCATTCATAAAAATTTCCAGTGAGTGTTTTGTTCATCACCTCCCCGCTTTTCTGCTGACCCTTTAGTGTACCCTCGAGACTCGCAGCCATGACTCGGCAGTGCCAGCACCGCACGTCACCACGTCGGCCCTCTCTACTCTGCGCGACCATCGCAATACCTGGGCAGACGCGTCGATTGGGCTGCCTAGGAGCTTCTGCCCATATGCCGAGTTTTGAGTCCCTGTGGGCACTACGAACTCCTGCATAGATCATCCATGCGTGTCCTGTGGCGACGGCCCGGATGAGCTATCTGAATCACTGAATATTCAATGTGTAGTGCCGCAAGACCGAATATGGACTGTTCCGCCGCAGAGAAACAGGGGAGGTGAGGGCGCTATGAATGTGAGAGGGAGGAGCTCTTGGCAACACCGCAGCGCGGGCTACAAGACCCTGGTGGAGGTGCTGCAGAGGTGTGTGGTCCGCCTAAGAAGCCATCTTCAGTGATTGGCCAACTTTGAGCTCGCTGCTCATCCAGCTCACCATATCACTCTTCCGCCCTGTACCCGCGGGTACAGCGCGTCAAGCAACTCCTCAGGATCGTGGTATACATTTCCCGCGTAATGAAGGACATGTGGCACAATACTATAACGGCATTCATGATGACCGTGAGGGCGATCTTGACTCAAGCGGTCGCGGCATATCAAGCTGTGGGCACATCATGTGATCTGAGGCAGTAATTCCCAGGGTCCGCGGCGCGCGCCCAGGCTTATCATGTGTACAGTGTGATTGCCTCCGACTTACTTACCCCCGACAAAAGCTTCCGTGACCTGCGCATCCCAGCTTTCCTGCCTGTGTACATATCCGAGTCTGGGATCAGTTGAAGCTCCATCAGCCCGTCGCACGTCACTCAGATTGCCTCAAGACCAATCGGGCACCAGACAGCAATTGGGCTCTCCGGACTGGTTGATATACTTGCGTTCGTGCGTTACGGTTCATGCCACCAGCTCCTGCAAGTTCGATATACAATGGAATGCATCGTTCTGGAATCTGGGATAGTCGCCTTACGCTCTGCATATCTAGACAAGACTACGGACACTGTGTCATCAGGTCGTGGTCTCCTTCGGGATCTCATGGCCGGGAGACGAACATGTTCTGGGCACCGCGCACCGCATCCGACATCCGTGTTTGTCGGTGACGATCACGTCAAGGCTACGGACACGAACGCGTCAATATAAGAAAGGGGCGCGTTGCGGCTATGGCACTAGTGGGAACTCACCATCGCCGGTCACCACAGCGGTCATTCGGCGCATCGCTCTGCCTCTGCCGTTTGTTGCATCATCATGGACACATCATTCGTCCTACAGGGGCTCCTAGGCGTCTCGGGCACCCTACTGGGGGCCGTGTTATGGAAACTGAGCCCGTACCTCCTAGCACCCTTCCGGTCGTCTCTCCTCAACTTGCCGGGTCCACCCAGCCCCGGTTGGTTGCTCGGCAACCTGAACCAGATTTACGAATCCGAAGGGGACCTCATCACCGACGAGTGGATCGAGAAGTATGGTCCGAACATCATGTACCGCGGGGTGTTCAATGTCAGTGATCTCTCCTTCAGGTGTCCGTTCTCATGTTGGCTCAAGAGAGACGTGCATTCCAGGGTCCTCGTTTGTACACGACGGACACCCGGGCTTTAAACCATATCGTTACGCACTCCGCGTACTACCAAAAGCCGGAACAAGTTCGTAGATCGTTGGCGCATATACTTGGAAAAGGTGAGGCTTCATGTTCTCCCTAAAGTGAATATCCTGTTGACAACGCGTGTCTAGGTGTTCTCTTCACTGAAGGCGACCAGCATCGGCAACAGAGGAGAGTAATGGTAAGGTGTCTGCCTGTTAATATACCACAATATATTGATCTTGCTTCCCCTTCTAGAACCCTGCCTTCGGACCCGCTCAAATCCGGGAGTTGACGGATATATTCGTCACTAAGTCTATTGAGGTATACGATTCACGTACGCTGGAGGTGTCAAACTATGATGTCTTACAAAGACGGATATAGCTCCGAGATTTATGGATATCGGCGATCAACACCCAGGGAGAGGTAGCTCGCGTCGATGTCCTCAAAGATCTGAGCAAGATGACCCTAGACGTCATCGGACTTGCAGGTAAAGTTCCACAGTTTGAATTTGCCGCGTCATAACACATTGTCCTCAGGGTTTGGCTACGAGTTCGATTCGTTGAACCCCAATGGCAAGCCCAACGAGTTAGCTCAGGCGTTCCAAGATGTTTTCAATGTTTCCGACAAGATGCCAGTCCTCATGATTCTCCGCGGCTTCTTTCCGGTCCTCCGCGCTATCGTAAGCAGCTTGAGAAGTCGACCCTGTTGCCTTGAGCACTGAAAGTTGTGTTACCTAGCCTGACAAACAATCGCGGAGGATAGACGACTCGCAGGCCGTCATGAGGCGGATTGGCATGCAGCTTGTCCAGGAGAAGAAGGCGGAGATCATGCGCGAGCGCGCACAGAAGAACGAGAAGGATCCCGCCTTTGATGGCATAGAGCGCAGGGACCTTCGGAGCCGGGACCTCCTTACCCTTCTCATCAAGGCCAACATGGCGACGGACATTCCGGACAGCCAGCGATTGTCCGACGAAGACGTCTTAGCTCGTGCGTCCCCCGTTCTGTGTTCTGACGGCGTCCGAGGCTGAGGTGCGACTTTTCGTCGTCAGAGGTCCCTACGTTCCTTGTCGCCGGACATGAGACGACGAGCACCGCAACAACATGGTGCCTCTTTGCACTCACACAATCGCCTGATGTGCAGAAGAAGCTTCGCGACGAGCTCCTCACTATCGAGACGGAGAACCCTACAATGGACGAGCTCAACGCGCTGCCTTACTTGGATATGGTCGTACACGAGACCCTTCGCCTCTATGCGCCAGTACCTACGACGATGCGCGTGGCGACCAAAGACGACATCATCCCAGTCGGCACTCCGTTTACCGATCGCAATGGCGAGGTGCAGGACAGTATCAAGTGAGTTCGCGTCTCCTTGCGATTCTGCGGGCCGTGTTATACGATATCCCTCATCTGACTCGAATATCGGCACAGGATCAACGGCGGGGAGTCCATCATTGTTCCGATCGCGACTCTGAACAGGCTCAGGTCGATCTGGGGAGAGGACTCATATGAATTTAAGTACGCCCCATGCGCTCCGCCCTCTCACGGTGACTCCTGCCTTACGTTCCCTGTCCCAGACCAGAGCGCTGGGAACACCCACCAGAGGTGATCTCGAATATCCCCGGAGTATGGGGTCACATCTTCACCTTCCTCGGCGGGCCGCGCGCGTGCATTGGATACCGATTCAGCCTTGTCGAGTGAGTACCTTGTTCTCGGGCACTTGCGATCGATCGCACGACTCATATGTACCTGTGTAGGATGAAAGCGTTGCTCTTCACTCTCGTGCGCGCGTTCGAATTCGAGCTCGCGGTCCCGCCTTCGGACATCATACGAAGGTCTACGATCGTGACGAGGCCGCTCTTGCGCAGCGCGCTGGAAGAGGGGACGCAGATGCCTATCAATCTCAAGCTGTACAAGCGCGACTGAGGGCTGTTGTCGTGAGTAAAACGGATGCGAAGTACGTGAGGTGCTGGTGGCAGGGGCCATGAGTCTGGCCCTGTTCCTCTGAGCAGATCATCATGTGGACAGGGTGGCAAAGGAAGACTTGTATGGTATGTGTGGGAAAGATGGTATCAAGTATAGCTGCGCATGTCAGGGAGAAGCGAGTGTCGTAACGACCCGAAAGCAAGAGAAAGCACCAGCGAGCAACATTGGCTGATGGGCAGCAGTTCATAGTCTATCCCAGGACTTAGAGACGGGGCTTTTCGTCGTAGGCGAACTTTGCCTCCAACATACTTCCATTCACCGGTCTGCGCGCTGTCAGGTCGCTTGCTTTTAGCGTCTGCGTGCACACACAGGCTAGCACGTGGCGACAGGCGATATATATTCCACTGTGTCTAGACGAGTCGAAGTGTACAAAGGCGAATATCGCGGAATCCAGCTTGTGATACTCCTGCCCATACCAAACAGGCCAATTGCGCTGTAGCCACATTTCGGTCCGCATGATCCTAGCGAGCAGCACGAAGTGGTAGCTTCCGAGCTCACACGAGTGCTAGACGAACCCAAGCCTGTTAGTATAGCCTATCGTACGTAGAAGCCAACGGCTCTAAGCAAGAGTAGCCCGAGAGAGCTTCAGAGAGTTGTCACCATGACTCATTCCGAGAGAGTCGTCCAGAATCTCCCAATTATTTGGACCTAATTGTCTTATGCACCAGCAAATGTAGGCGCTGTGATTCGCCTCCTAAGGTAGGGGTTTCTCGAATGCCAAGGCAGCGCGATCCACCTCTTATTAAGTAGGCCTCGACCTCGCCCCTCTCAAGGTAGTAAAACCCGATAAGCACGGTATAGATTCTTGCTCATTCTGGTCACTGCCTGGGTACACAGCCAAGCAAATACAGTTGGGCGGGAGACAGTGGTAATGATGTCACTGACGGCAGAGGGGGATTAAAGTCGGGAGCATTGATCAAAGCAATATAAGGCACGTAATGATAGAGCTATTGGTCCTTGTCGCTGCGAGAGCACGTCCACGTTCAAGCCCGCATATCCGAGTCCCGATATTATCGGTGAATTCGTTGGAGGGCTGTGACGGATTGCGTTGTCAGCTTGCCGGAGTAACGCATCACTGCGGCTGTCAAGGCACCTCAGGACACGTACTACATATCAGGCTGACCCCTTGGATGAGTATATAGCTGGCATTTGAGGTCGCCTCTAGCAAAGCCTCCATTCCGGTTTGAGGTCTGTACACGCCTTTTCAGTGATCAGTCAGAAATAGCCGCGCTTACCACGGTCTCCGAGACAGCCGAACGCTCAACCACGCACTTATATGAGCGACGAGCGACTCTGCACATCAGGAAAACGTCACGGACTTGTACAGGTACTTGGGGTACTTGGCCAAGTACCTCAAGTATCCCAAGTACCTCAAGTACCCCAAGTCCAATGGACTTGGCCAAGTCGGGTGGGTCGACTTGGCCAAGTACCAGGTACTTGGCCAAGTCCTCCAAGTCCCTGTTCAAGTTCATGCCCAAGTTCACTGTGAGATGTATTGAATAAAGATGATATGCATGGAAGTAAATCAAAGGACAGCTGCTCTTGATCAAGGTCAAGTGTACAATATTTGTTAGTGGGTGCAGCGGCGGCCAAAAAAAATTGCCACCACAGGTAATTGAACCAGCAACCTGCAAATTCAGTGTCCAACACAGCATG